CATGATCACAGCTGCAGGAGAAGGAGCTTTCCCAGCTTTCCTCAGATGTGGAAAGCTTGCATTAAATGAGGTTATGAAAGTCTCAATATACTGGTGGAGGAAGAAAATCTTATCTTCATGCAGCCCAATCAATAAGATCTATTTCTTCACTACTGCCCAGCCTGTGAAGTCATCCAAATCCACGACAAATGAACACAAAGTGTATGTAAAATCCTACCATTTTGATTTGGTGCCTCGTTGTAACCATATTGTAATTAATTATGCAAGATGAAAAGCAATGAAAAGTCAGGATGGAAAGATCTAGATTAGAGAAAAATGCTAGTGCCATTTAAATCAAGGGGAACTTTGCCATTATTTTTAGTGGAATTAGATTTTACCCTAGATCATGTATGACATACATGCAGCCTGGATGCCTGCAGAAAAACCTGCTCTTACAGTTAAACAGTTACTTCACTGAAACCACAAATCTGAAAACACAACCCAGGTTAACATGAAGTAAAACTTGCTTTAAAATGTGGAAGTACATCAGGCCTGTTTGATTTGAGTAAATTTTGATTTAAACAAGTATGAGAGAGAAGGGAATGGAGCCACAGAAAGGAAGTAGTGCTAAATTCACATACCCTGGCATAAATTTATTCCTAGTGTGATTATCACTCATCTCTAAAAAGTCCCTCTAAAATTGTTATACTAAAATTATGGGTCTCAGTCTTAGTACTACTGCAAGGATCCCATAAAAATATATTATTAATGAGTATTCTGTAACAGCTGGGTTTTTTTGCTGCAGCAAATTTTCAATTCCCACAACTGACATGTTGGGCAGGAATTCATATTTCAACATTGCAAATTTTTAAAGTCCTGAATCCCAAAAACAAAATCTGCTTTTCAAGTCAAAAGCATAACATAAGTGAAATCCAAGCTAGGACCTTGCGAAGGATGGCAGTCAAGGCAGTGTTACACCTTACAGATTATCTAAGGTAGATATGTATAGCACAAGCTTTTTGCAAGCTGAAGCTTGCTTACTTACTTCATATATATACTTTGGTTAGTCTACAAGGTGCAAATCTACCCTGCCTTCTACTTGACTTCAGATTGACACAGCTAACTGTCTCTCTCGGTTCACACACATGCCACTATCACTGAATCGTTATGGACACTCTTATATACAGAACAGTATTATGTAGCCACTTGTTTATATTGAACCAGAGCTAAGGTCTTGAAACCAAAAATATACACTTCAGGGTAGAAGTTTGGCAAATGTCCTCAGCAGACCTAAAACATTTTGAGAGCCAAATAGCTCTTGACATAAAAGGGTTCCACTGCATCCCTACTAGATTTTATACACTCTAATAACTCATTCCTTGCCCTATTAATTTAAAATGTTTGCTATTGACTTCAATTGGACAAGGTTTGTCCCACACTAGGATTGCTTTGGCTCCCTATGCACAAGTGGGAAGATGGATGATGCTTTTAAGACCCCAGGGATGAAAGGAAGCTCTTGCTGCCAGGTACTCCTAGGAAGCAAAACACAACTTGGTGTCTGCTCTGTTTTATTGGTATACGTTTGAAAATTAATGGAGTTTTTCTGTCTTCTTTCTAAAATCCATTTTAGGCAAATTAAAACTGACAACTACTATGAAGCAGAACTCGAAGTTTAAATAGTTTGCATTCTGTCTTTTTAATTAAAAAAATGCCATATCTATCCCAATCTAAGACAACTTCAAATGTAAGACACGTCCCTAAAAATTAAATTCTTTACATGAAAAATAATATATATCTTTTTATAATTTTCCATGTATAGAATTGAATTATCGGAGGTTTGTCTTAAATGTCTTCAACCCCTCTCTCCCCCCACTGCAGCAGGGGGGCAGGCAGTAAGGAGGCAAGCAGCATGGAGGCAGGCAGCCTGCCCTCCCCCATGCACCTTGCCCTACAGCCACCTGGCCTTCCCCCATGATGTCTGCCCTCAATGCCCCCTACCCGTCTCCCCCCACCCCCCATGCTGCATGCTGCACTGCCAGGTGCCTCTGTACTGTGTCCCTCACCACTACCTGGCTGCCTGCTGGGTCCTGCACTGCTCCCTGGTTCTGTGCTGAGCCAGGGAGCAGGGAGGGAATTGTCACAGAGCCAGGGAGCAGTGCAAGACCCTCAATACTTGATTCTAAGAGGAAGCTTTGTTTTTCCTGTATTTTAGGGAGGAAAAAACCTTGGTCTTAGAATCGAGCAAATATGGTAACATCCTGCTTTCAAACCAGATCCTCTGCTAGTATAAACTCACATCGCTTACTGAAGTCAGTAAACTAGGTGGAACAGCAGCTGAGATTCAGCCCTGTTCAGAACATAGAGGAGTTGCAGAGTTAACCTAAAAAATGACTACTTACTGGTTCATGGGAAATATCTCTACGGCATTGAGGGCACAGTCCTCTAATATGAAGACTAGCTAGTAATGCAAGGGTTTAATAATAGGGAGTCAAAAGGATTTCTCTGCTAATCCATCATTACCAATTTTATAGTTGTCATTGATTCTTAACTAATACAGGTGAACACAACATATGGCTCTGATCCTGCAATAATTTATATGCATGATTAAAAGTATGTGTGGCAGTATTTGAAAGATCAGGACATATTTTTTACTGTTTTTTTACCGCGGCAATCACGGTAACTGGAGAAACCAAAGGAACTTTGCAGTCAGGGCCTTAGATAAAACAGTGGATAGTGATTAAAAATATAAATACCGATACGCTGCTTTTCTGAATCCTAGCTGAATTTCCCCACTTTCTGATAATGCACCCTACAGAACAGCAGCCTGAGTGACACCTTGGAGGAAAGGCATGCCTACATAGCAGCATCCACATGCAAGGCAGAGGCATCCTCACCTTTGCTGTGCTGCTTTGCAGTGCAGCTAGGTTCACACAGCACTCCAGACAGGCTAACTGGCTATTTTTCAGCAATGCTAACTTGCCCCTCTGCAGCTGTCCATGAACATGGACATGGGCATGCTCCTTGTGGTCCAAGAGGTCACCAACATGAAACAATTCATTGGGTGCAAGGATGTTGTAAATTTGCCAACAGTTAATTCTTGGTTATTCTCATCCACACCGGCCTTCCATAGGTAATTAGAAGAGGGCCCTCTAATTATAGGAAAGTAAACATCTAATCAAAGGACTGTTCTACTGACCCCAGTAAGGGTCTGTATCAGGGGGTAGGATTTTCAATAAAAGTCACTGCCAGTTTTGCTCAAAAAGCTTGAAAGATTTTATCAAAACAAAACAAATATTTACAATTGAAGCACATTAACACTCATATTTCTTTAAATCAATATTTATCATATTAGTGTTACTAAAAGCACATTGCCGGGACAAAAGCCATGAGGCTGATTTACAACAGCTTAAGAACATAGTTTCAGCGTGAAAGAACTTTCATTGCATCAGAGTAGTTTAATGCCTGTAGTCTTGCTTTGACTATACTTCACTTGAGCGGGTTTTATCTTTTAGTGCTGGGAGTAGCTTGGGGCAATTATGTATGCTTATACCTCCAAGCACATTTGGTTTTCGTCTGCCACCAGCAAGAATCTCTCAATTGGAGAATGATCTCCACCACAGCCTAGTGATGGTGACTTGAGTCCAGTCCTCGAGCCACAGATCCCTCTGCAGAAGTTGCAGGTCTTTCCCTGGGAGAGAGTAGGCTGCAGGCTGGGGCTCCTCTCCTTTCCCTCCCTCTGCTCTCTCTTCTCCACTTCCAGGGTAAGATGCTTTACCTCCAAACAGGCTGCCACTTGGTCAAGGTTGCGGCACCACTGGAGTTGGTTGGCAGGCAGCTCCTCCCAATGCTTGATCTCAGCATCCTTTTCTTGGGGTGGGTCTTCAACGTGTCCTCGTCCTTCCGTGCGTCCTTGTCCACCAGCATCCCAGTGCCTTCAGCGCGTCCTGGCCGCCGCCGGGTCTCCGGCCCTAACCGAGCAGGGCGCAGAGCCCTTGCCGTGGGCGCCAGAGGCAGTGCCTTGGTCTGACAAGGAAGGCGGGCTCCAGCCCTGCCCCAGCGGACACCAATGGCCCCGTCTTTCCGCCCACCCGGCACGTGCTCCGCGCTCTCCAGCGGGCCGGGACCCATGCAGGGGGCCACGTGCGTGGG